TTGTAGGGAGAGGGAGGAAGAGAGGGAATATTCGAATGCCAACCGATAGATCTGAGCTTCGCCTCGGAATATATGAAGCCCGAGACGAAATATTCTCCGAAATATTCGTAGAAAGGCAAGACAAAGCTTATGCTCTGCATCAGTCGATATAAGGCACAGATGTCGGTGACACACAACTGCATCGATTGGCGCCGACTGTAGCGTGGAAAGCTAAGAAGCTTTTGCTTGAGTTATCGATACAATGTACCGTATAAATGTCCTAATGATCTGTTTTTGAACGCGTAACGAGAAATCCTACAAGCTCTTTGCCGTTTGATCCCAAGTCTGCAGATACGAGTAATAATTTAGAAATAGACATTTACATGTCATTATTTACTGGGTAAAATCAGATCAACTGTTTGTCGATATATAACGTTTATTTTCTATTGTTATTTATATATAAATTTTTTCTTTCCGCATTATTTAACTGACATTTCATTTATTTATCCCAAATAAAGGGGCGTTTTAAGGCCTAATTTTGCTAAAATACATTAATGATGCATTTTCAAAATAAAATGTGACAGTTTAAAAAAAAAAAATAAGAAAAGAACTGATTGCATACATTAGTTGCGAATTACACGAATGTTGCTAATTAAATAATGACTTTGATACATCACATGAGAGATAGAATCCATTTGCTCTAACGCTAATAGGACTTCCCTAACAATCCAGAAATTAGCCGTCACAGCCACGCCCGTTTCCCGTCACGTACAGTACGGTGACGATTATTATATAGTAACTAGAAATTAATTGTATATACAGTGTGCATTGATGGACTATGCAGTAAATATGTTTGTAAAATAAGATATTTGAGAATATAAAAGAAATTTTTCTATGGCATGGCTAATATATTTCATATACAAATTTTTAATCACACTTGTTTAAAATTTTATCAGTGTAAATTAAATATAAAATGATTGAATTTCCGGGGAATGTTACACGCGTAATATTTTGCGATATTGCGTACGTAAATAAAGAATTGATTATATAATACATTCGTCGAAATTGAGTAATATTGAATATTTGTTGAAGATACAAAATGTTTTACAAAAATCGGCAGAGATGCCAAGGAAACACTCCTAAACTACAGTATCATTTGCAATCATATCCTTAATAAATAATGAGCTAGCTTCCTACTGGTATGCACCTTTATTAACGCGCCGCGTATAAACGGACACATTTATAGCGAGCTGTTGAAACGTGAATTTATATTTCCGCATCCGCGAACCTGAGTCAGTTGTACAGTCCAGTTCAAAATAGAGTCGAAACAGAATTTCTATCTCGGTACACCGTTTTCCGGAGCAAAAGTGGCTTTTCTACCGGAACCCGAAAAGGAAAACGAACACGCGGATGTAAATCCTTACGACCGTACGACACGAATAAATCACCGAAAAAAAACTTTCTTAAAAGTTCATTCAACTCTTTTCTCCGACGCTCAGCGAGGATAAAGGCATTTTCCGACTTGGACATGGGCATGAAATCCGCCTGTCTTGAAACAATTCTCGCATGAAATTTATGTTTTTCAGCAATAATATAGTATATTTATTAATTGCAACAAATTTTTTATTACTTTCTTTTCTCGTCAAGTTTCTCGATATATTCAACATCTAAATCGCGCGCAATATGCTTTTCTCTGCTTCCTCCGTATACTTTTTCAAATCTGAATTACATTTCGCTTGATAATGCAATCTATTAATCCTTTCATGAATTTTATGGCGTGCTTAGAAGCAAAGACCTCGTCGCTAGCACTGATTGGCAGCGCATCGGAAAGAACTGTCAGCGAATAAGAAGGACTTTGCTTTTTTCTCTTTTTTTTTCTCACTCTTATGGACGTTCGAGCGAACCCCGAGGTGCGATTACCATTTTATCGAGTCTGATTTGCGAGCACTTTACACGAACCTTGTTACTGCATGGGCATTGTGAGCGAAGGGCTGCACTTACTACATATTGTCGTCTCTCTCTTCAAGATTTAGTCGGACTTCAGGTGAAAAGATAGAATTTGTACATATGTTTTATTACGTCCGTACACACACACACACACACACACACATATACACTTGCATGCGATACGTGCGATATCACAGTGTATATTCAAGTGTTTGTTATCGCCAAGTTATGACAATGATCAATCATATCCGGGAAGAAAAATACAGGGACTACACATCGAATGCGGCAGAATATACGCGAATCTTCCGCAATTGATTATGGAAGCGCTCGAGTACAATGGATAAACAACGATACGCCGTTGAATTTCAATTTCGTGAGTCGATCAATGTTTACCGGGTATCTCCCCGTTTCAGTATCACGAATTCGCACATGGTGTTTGCACTTGACGAATGTGCTCTCGGTAATGCACAAATAAATCGATTTCAATCATAAACAGCGATAGAATCACACGAAGGAAATTTTCGGTAAACAATTATTCCATTATCATTGCAAATTAATACAAGCATGTCAGTATTCACATTATTACGCTAGCACTTCTAACGCATGCATTTCTGTCAGATATAATTTCAACTCATCGGTAAACATCAGATACGCCAGAAGCTGATCGCGCGCTTTTTACAGATTTTTTAAATTAATTGATGGTATAAACCATGATTTAACGTAAATCATTGTTCGACATTTTTGTAATTAAGCTTTAAATGAAATTTTCTTTCTCCGCGTCAATCCCGATACAAAGAGAGCACAAAACCCTCTTTATATATTCATTTAATTTACACGCGATCTAATAGGAAGCATTATTTAAGATTATTACATAATGTAAATCTCTCTCTCCCTCTTTTTCTCTCTCTCGAAATTAATCTTGAAATAAAATTTTCTTTTTCTGTGTCAGCACAAAGAAAAAGAGCAAAACGTTTTTTTATATATTCATACAATTTGGTTTTATGTATTAGAATATTTCTTTGAACAGTGCAAATTTACAAATTTATAATTTTACGCGCGCGATAGATATCCTTTATTAAGCAACAGCATTTGACATCCAAGCAAGTGTATCTCTTTTGCGTACAACTATGCGTTAATAATAAGTTAGATTAATAATAAGTTTCATTGTCGTGAAGGAAAAAAGAAAGTACGATACACTAGCAATTCTATCGCGTCTCGCACTGTAAATTGCGAATATACTCGCGAATTGCGTCGCAGCTCCTTCAAAGACGATAGACACTAACGAATGGCATGGAAACGAGCGCGAAGTTTAATTCCGAGGAATCTCCTTTTGTATTACGTCGACTGAGTAATAAAGATACAAGGCTTTAACCTTTCTTCGACCGTCACCGAGACGAATGCGAGTGCTTCAACAAAAGAACCGGATGTTTGTTACGCAAAAAACCTTTACGCGCAGCAAAACTCACCGGCGGCAATCAAGCGTAATTGCATGCGGAAATGTAAAACATAATCACCTGGGTAAGTCCTATTTTTCAAACGGTGGTCGGCCAGTTGGTCATGCAAGGATTCGTAATTACGTCGCGTAATTAGCAGATAACAGATAGGCGGCTACCTTGTTTTTCTTTCGCCACATGTCTGGAAAACGTGCCGCGTCATTGGGCGCAAAACCACATGCTGCTCCTTTAAATCTTCCATGGAGAAAAAGGAGGGCACTCCGTTAAATAAATTTTTAAAGGGCCCCAGGAGAAACATTAGCAGAGCAAATTTTAGGCTGATACCGTTGTTTTATGATTATTTTAAACGATTCATGAAATTTTGATAAAAGCATTTACAAAGAACGAAATAAAAAAATGTCTGCAACAACAATTATAAAATTAATCAAAATACCAAAATTTATATTAAAAAATACGATTAACATGCCATTTCAAATATTTAAATAATATCAAAGTATTGACATTTCCTATTTAACACACTAATCTATATTTTAATTAAATTTTTTAAAATAAACATGTATCTGTTTATATATCGGCGATGTATATATTTTAGGTAATATGTCTTTGTATAAAAGTGATTAAAATATTTAAAATATTTAACATTCCCAATTGTCCATCCGTGTTCCACTAGTAAATCGAAAATTCTTTTGACGACTCGCACGAGACTCCGATATGTGCATTAATTCGCGTGAATCCATCGATAATTATCCATACCTGTCTGTGTCCCGCGCGAAAATCCGATTAGACGGTTTAAAATCGATGGTGATCGGTATGGGGATCCACTCGCGATGGATGTGAGCCGATGGGCAGTTCAGAGAGGAAAGCGTGTTTGAAATCGGTCGAAGGGCGGATAGCGTGTACTAGAGAGGAGAGACGAAGGGACGGTGCGAGGCCGGCGCGGCTTGCAATTACCATTCATTACTTTGTTGGGGCCAATTGACATAACTGATTGGTATTCGGCACCCATGCCACCCTCAAAGGACCCTACCGACCGTCACGAAGGGGACTAATGCAGTTACCTATGTCTGTGCTGCGGGTTACATACACGTCTGATACATCACGACGTCGAATACGTAGAGTTAAATCGCGAATGCAAAGCATTCTTTCCTGAATTAATTGCGGTTTCAAATATCGAAGATATTTACGTGTGATAACTTGAGCTTTGTACTCGATCTACAGTTTTTCGCCTCGAGAGATATGTTCTTCGTTTTTCTCTTTTTTTATCTTCTGTTATCCTTTGGCGAGCGCCTAGTCTTTATTTAAATTACTCCGTAATTTTAGAATATATCGAGCCCTTTGATCCATCTGCTTTTAGCGAAACTCGCCGATTCTGTAGCTGCAACTGCATAAATATTAATCCGAGAGAAAAACGCTCGACAGCGATCTAAATGTAGAGTTAATTTTAAATTACAAAAGTTTACTCAAATATTTATAATTATTCCGTTAGAAAATTTGTAATGTTTATTTTATTACTCTCTTTCTCTCTTTTTTATATGTTATAATAAATAAGAATTATTTTATATTCTTTTGCAAATGAAAAATAATTGATTAGAAATTAATCTCATTTCTTTCTTGTTACAGAATTCTTGCATGGCAAAATGAGGCTACATGAGTATCCTGCGTAACGCACGCCGGCAACTTTCGATGTAAGGGCGCGCAAAACGAGGTAAGTGAATCCACCAATGAACAATTTTGTAATAATTGCTTGAAAAGCAACATTTGTATTCCTTTTACTACATACTATAAATATAACAGACATATATGACGAGATATATTTAGACCCATTTTATATACATTCTCACATCAGTTACGATTGACTCGATTTTAATCAATTTTTTTCCCTCAAACATAAAGTAACTCGGCAAATTTATTAATAAATTAAGCAAGTAAGAAGCTAATTTGCCAGAGCTATAACATTTACTTCGAAATGAGAAGCTCTCGTAAATGCAGTTCCCGCCCGTAGAATCTTTGATCAAGAATTTCTTTATATGATATTTTTTTTTCAAACTTCTTGTTCCGGAAAGCTAACCGACTTGTGTTTAACGTAACTCGAGGTCTTTTTTCTTGACCAAGCACTATTTCTTCCCGAAGGGAATACACGAGGAATGGAAAGTCAACTGATAAATAGTTCCTAATGCTTCTCCGCGTCGGGTTCTCCCTTTTCGTGGCACAAGTGCGCCGAGTACACTTACGTCTGCGAGAATTTCGGGCTCGCTTAGTTCCGCGTTCTCGAGAGAAATTCTAACTTACCGTTAAGAGAAGCGAGGCGAAAAATTCTGCTTCATTGCGAACGGATGACATTTTCTTCCGCGGGAACGCTCATGGAGGCATTCTCACGTTCTTTATCGCAGCGATGTGGGAGCATCATTTCCTTAGAAAAGTCCTTTTAAAATAATCGTGAATGAACGAACGATAGAACGGAAAGGAATGAAAGAATGATATTTAAAAAAAGTGGGCGCGCACAATTGCTATTTCAAGCGGTATACCGCGTTTAAACACTTTAAAAGATAATGCATCAAATTTTATTTGAAAAACATTAATGTTTAATAAACCGCTTATCATGCTATTAATATTTTTAATACATACCATTATTTTTACTATTATATAATATCTTTTTACACAGTTATAATTTTTAAACTACTGTTCAAATTTTTATATATTATTCATTTTCATTAAATTATTCCATTAAAATAGCAGATGCGAATTCTTTCGAAAATTTGCCGAAATATAAAAGTTGGAAGTACTAGAAAGATGTTATACTTCATGACAAGTGAAGAACGTATAGTGAAGAAATTTCACGTTCAGCACTATGAAATACTATTACTGCACGTCAAGAATTTTCAAAATCGACGTTGTAGCATTTTTGAGTACAACGGATGTGCAGATTTTAAAAACATTCTTGCACGCAACCATCATGACTTTTGTACGGACACGTAAAAGATGTGTTACAGTCAGAATATTTTATCAGAATATGATATTAATAGAATGCAAGATGTCAGTTGTAATTTATTAATAATTAAATTGATTGTATTTTTTGTTCTCTGTTTCTTTCCAATTTCGCGTTTAACACTGCTATAATTATTTATTTCATCAGAACATTTAGATTAACGCTATTCTGTTTGTCACATAAACACATACTGGGACAAATCAAGGCTTTGTCGCGAGACGCAATACGACGTCCAGAGTATGGCACAGTATTGCACGTCAATGACAACGTTTACACGACCCACTTTACGCCGGCTTAGCGTAGCAGCTTAGTGTAAGTTGACTGTTAAATGTGGTATAGACTGTGATTTTACGCTGCGGCCTACGACCGTGTAATTACGTTCGTACAAAGAATAGGGATGAAGTCTTGCGAATGCAAGAAACATGAATATTTAAAATTATGCCGCAATATTTTTATTTTGTTATTAAAAACAATTTTCTTTAGCAAAATATCTAAAAAAACATAATATATTTGTATCACTATGGACATTGATGATTTAAGTACATTAAATTCTTCTAGTAAGAGACAGATATACGGATAGCAATGTGACCTGCCATCGCGTATACGAAATAATACAAAAGCTTACAACTAAAAGACATCTAACGTCTGAGAGATTAGAGTGTCTTTTAGATCTCGTGACATGTTGTTTCTTAGATATTTATATTGCCTAGATACTTTCGCAAAGTACAACGAGAATATAAGACCGCGAGAATTAATATTTCGAATTGCGTAACACAAAATCGGTCGACAATTCAATCGGGTTTTTTTTTTTTTTTTTTTTTTTCATTTTCTTTAGCTCGTTACATCATCGAGATAGTTTCTCTTTACACATCACGCCTGAATACAAATCGACCACCAGCGAGATGACTCTTATTGCAAAACTGCACGATATAGAAATGTGTGTTTCAAAAGAGTATCCGATATACGCTGCATCGCACGTATCCATTTGACTATCTCTTTTTTCCGCATTTATTTCCGTTCATGTCGTCGGACACACGCGTGCCAATGTTCAACGAACATGCTAAAAGATCGAAATAGATATTTATAAATGGAAATGGAAAAAGCGATCGCGTTATCATACGCCAAAAATGCAGTCAATAATGCGCGAGTAACATCGCCAAAAACAATGGAAATAAAATTTAATTGATGTCGCGCACAAATCCATGTGTACTTTTTCATGAAAGAGAATTGTATTATTAATAAATATGTCACGTTCAGCTTTTTGAAAATCTTGCAAAGAGATAACGCTTTGAAAATCTATAAAAATATATTATTCTCTAATATATTTATAAGATCATTCGATTTTTCAATTTACATGGTCGATCTATATCCTCGCGCTCTTCTTTCCGCTTCTATATACAATTAATAATTCAGCAGCATTATACGCGAACGGAAGAACTGTTAGCCCCTCTTCATCGGATTTAACATATTATTATTTCATGGTAAAGCTAATTAATATGTCAACGTAAAACAGAGCCTCATTTTAGCGACCGATCAATGATTCGGGACAATGTAATTATTATCAGCTCCATTTACGCTACTGACAGTGATGATTCATTAACGGGGTAAAAGGTGAACGGGCCATATGCGCCGCTATTTTTATAGGACCATTATGAAAAGCTTGCCTAATTCAGTCTGATGTCATTAACGTCTACGATTCGGCGATAAATTATTCAGGATAATTGGATTCAGGGCGTGCATAAAATCCACTTAGTATATGGCGCCTATTCAGTAAGCGTAGTCGCGGTACATGCACGTAAAAAGGGGAGGGAGGGAAAGGCGGGCTAATGCTCGGACAGAGATTATTTTATGCTCGGCTCTATAGCTCGTGTTGTAAATCGACGCTATACGCAAACCAGTCATGGATAGCGCAATATTAATAGTTGTCCACATCGCAAAATAACATTATTATGAAATTATAATCTTTCCCATAATATATTCGAAATATGTGTGTGTGTGTGTGTGTTAATATAATTTAATATTATTACTCTCAAATTTTTTTATATCGATATAAACTCTTGTATCTTTTCTACACATTTCTATCTGATTGTTTTATGCTTACACTTTTTTTTTTGTTTAAAGAATTTTTAATAATTGCTTTATTTACCGTTTGTTAGTCCCTTTGTTGCTCTTGAAAAAGGTCTTACAGGTATGTTTGCAAAAAAAGCTGATTTTTAACGTTGCGGATTGCGTTGTATGTACGTCTTGTTACATTATTAAGCGAAATGCGAAACAATTTTCCGCGTCTGCGAGGCACCTAGCTAGCAGTTGCTTTGTACTGCAATACGCACAACGTGCAAGCAAACATTTTTCATTTACATTTTTCGAATACTCTTAAATATCAAAGAGCGCGTGCGTATATACAGAGAAAGAGGTAGGAATAAACGCAATTCTTCACGACTGCTTGGTATCGCGTACCAATTCATGCTAGGACGTCCATTATCTGTACAAAGGTAAAAATGACAGAGAGAAGAGGAACAAGAAGAACGCATAGAAAAGAACGAACGAGTAGAGCTCAGGGGGGGGGGGGGGGGGGGGGGCAGCAAATTAATTAAGAGTTTGTGAGTTAGGAGTGGGCAAATAAGATGCGGCAGCCGCCGAGGTTCACGGCACCGAATATGCGGTCGCGCGAACCGGATGGAAAGAACGTCGGAAAGAACGAACGAGTAGAGCTCAGGGGGGGGGGGAGGGGAGGGGGCAGCAAATTAATTAAGAGTTTGTGAGTTAGCAGTCGGCAAATAAGATGCGGCAGCCGCCGAGGTTCACGGCACCGAATATGCGGTCGCGCGAACCGGATGGAAAGAACGTCGGAAGAAAAATGGTGCTTGCACAGTTGAAAATACAAGCCGCTCCGTCGCGAATCGCGACACACGCACATGATATACATGCGCGATATACAAACGAAAACCGCCGTAGTGCGAGAGTGGTGCATCTCTTCTGGCTGTCTCGGGGACGAGAGAACGGCGGAGAGAGTACCGCGAGACAGAGGAGGTTGAAGAATGTGCACTCAGCGTGATTGGTGCTGCGCGCCGGTGCATAGTGCCGGCTGTCGGCATGAAAACTCGAGAATTTTCCCAACTCTACTCATGTGCGCGCAGCCGAAGACGTGCTTATAAACCCGCCTCTCAGGGGATCTTAGCTACCGCGATCGAAACTATCGGCTTTCTTACAGTAGATCTATCTATTCTCTTTTGCATACTTCCCTCTTCCATTTCCGGTCTAGTACAGTGAAAAATATATATAAGTTTCAGAGTAAACGCTCCTGTTGGTCAAGTACATTGAAAATTTTTTATGCTTTTGTGTGTGTGTCACATAAATATTTTATATATAGCTAAAAAAAATACAAAGTAGGAATTTTATCACAACATGTTAATAATATTGATTAATGAGAACATCTTGATTCACACATGGATTTATCTCGAAAGTTGATTTGGAAGATATATTGACAAAGGTTTTTTAATTATTTCCTGGTGCCTATTGCACATTTTAATTTTTTTTTGTAATATCCAGTGTGTTATTTCGTTAAGCCGCTTTAAATGAAATCGTAAATCATACAGATGTCCAAATTTTGCTTGTCTTGTTAAATTTGTCGAACAGCAAAACGAGAATTTGTATTGGGATTTTACAGAGAGATTTTCCAATATAACGAATAATAAAATCGGCGTGTTAAAAATTACTGG